TTCGTAAACATGTATTAAGTATCAACGTCGATTCGTAAACACGTATTAAGTATCCCCGACGATTCGTACACATGCATTAAATATCCACGACGATTCGTACACATGTATCAAGTATCCACGTCGAATCGTACACATGTATTAAGTATCCACGTCGATTCGTACACATGTATTACATATCCACGACGATTCGTACACATGTATTACATATCCACGACGATTCGTTCACATGTATTAAGTATCCACGATGATGCGTCGCTAAGAACATGTTAAGATAAAAAGTAGGTCGCAGGATCAAAACCTATGTTTTTAACATTGGAATTCCAGTTAATTTCTCATGATTTTCTTAAGAACATATCACCATCACCTCAGTCCTGTAGCCAGTTTTTCCTTTCATAAATTTTGTTACCCTTTTAACCTAGATTGTTTAAAGTGGTAAACAATTGACATTGATTTCTATTGAAACAGGTTAAAAAAAACGACCAGATAACAGTTTCTTTTATAATTAGACCACAATGTTAGAGAGAAAAATATCAAGCAGAGAAGTAGATATTTACGAATAGTTGGTATAGGTTCTTTGACTAACAGGGTAAGTGTACATTGATTTGTAAATGCATTTATGTGACTCTTATTTATCATTTTATCAAAAAATAAATAAAAAATTAAATCACTGATAAAATATTAGTTATATTGGTGTCAATGACTGCATTTGAAACAGTGTAGTATACGATTTCACATTTCAAACTATGACGATACACGAAGAGCCGACGTCATACCGTTATTCAACATCTGTGTAACTTGATTTGAGGTATACTATTAACTGTTTTAGGAATTAGATCATTCAAGTTTGGCTTCATAAGATTATACATAACCTTTTTTAAGCTTTCCATATTGGTACATATATATGTACGTTCATTATTGATATAATATGCGTTTTGTGCAGTTTTCTTTTATAGTTTTACAGCATTGTTATTTTATCAAAAAATATTTTCCGGTATGTATAATCAAATTCACAGCAAGTTGCGGCATGGTGTGAAGTGTTTCAAATAAGAAAAGAACAAAACGAATCGACTGTAATTGAAATGACGTTTTTTTTATTAGTAAACATTACACATATGTATGTAACATTTTTTCTGACATTGGGCATATGCTGATTAAAAGTAAGACCAATAATAATTCTTGTCGGCATACAACTACGGTAACAATGGTATTACGTCATATTCGCGTTAAACAGTAAATTTAGTGTACGTTCGACGTGTTACCTTCAGCACTGTAAATACTATTTCAGCTTTATCAATTATTAAAACATTTTAGATGTCATTTAATACAGTCAAATAACTTTTATCTAGAGACAACTTTCGCGGAGATCAGAAAGTTGTCTTTAAATGAAATTGGGTTCTTAATACGGCTTCAGTTTCTTAATTATATCACTTGAGTTGAGGACATTAACACTGGTCCACCACAGAAGAGGTTCGCCAGTGGATGTGGGTGCAATACATTGTACTGTTGCTGTTTTATTTTACTAAATGAACATTAATTACTGTTAATGTTTGTTTATATAGATACTATTGAAATTCTTTTCTAAATCATAAACGTCTTCTTTAAATATGAACAAGTAAGCTGTTGTTGAAATCTGATTTTTAACGAAAGTTTTGTATGCAGAAGTTTCAAATTAACATGCAAATATGTTTTTACATGTTAATTTCATAACAAAATCTGTAGATTCACACTGTGTAGCTGATCTGGTGACAGAAATGCAAAACTGTTTGTTTCCTCTTACAGATTTAAACGGAATTCTACAGCTCGTTGATATAAGTATATATAACATTGTATATCCGGGTCCCCAGTGACGTCATTATCTTATTGATGGGTTATTCGCATTAAATTAGATACAAATTAGACAAATTATTTACTCTGGTACATTGAGTCTTTTGATATGCAACACATAAAACATTATCAACACATCAAAATTAGTCTGTCAACAAAATATGGATTTATTTCTACGAAACTGAACAGACAATGCAGACTTCACAATGTCAACGACAATGTCATAGATATTCATATCTATATCGTAATACAATTCTACATCAATCACAAGACAAAGAAAATTAACTACGAGACAAAAGACATCTGCCTGTTACCAGAAGTCGACCTTCTAAGGAAGAGTTTTAAAAAAGGTTTAATTATTTAACATAAAAAACTCAGTACTGGTGCAAATAAAACAACAAAAGAACCTTATTAGCAGAATGTTGAATAAGTGATGTCGAGTTATTATGTGATGTGTATAAATTTCATAATATCACAAAAAGTTATAGGAAAACATTCTGTAAGTACTGTGTATTTTATAAGGAGGAGCAGTCTTTAATTGTATGGTTAAGTATATATATTAATATGCATTTTCAAAAGTTGTACTATGTTTTATTTAATGAGGGGAGTGGTTGGAAAATGAATTATAAATTCTAAACATTATCAAGACACCTACTTAACACAAAATATAAAACAGAGGAAAAATAATTACTACTGATTTCATATTGATGTGAAAGAATATCACTTCGGTCGGTTAGGAGCCGAATGTCATTTATAATAAAAAAAAATCTATATTTAGATCATGTGCCAAATCGAATAAATACACTTAAAAGTAGGAATTAATATTCAAACACAGCTGTGTTATCTAAGAGCTAAACAACACCCAGACAGCCGAATGGATATGCCGTAACAATAGCATAACATCAGTAATAACTCATCTTTCTGTTTTATTGTTGGTGACATGCAGTTGTTTTATGTTTCGATAAAGAGTCTTCTTCCCTCAACAATTTGACAAAATTCATTGCCTGCAACGTCGCTATTGCTTCTCTCATTTGGTTGTTCGGATCCAGAGCCTGATTAAGACCGTACTTGATGTGTATAATGATGAGGGAAATCATATATTTATACTGTACATTATATAATGATTAATAATTATATTTATAAACACTCGAGATCTTTGAATATTACATCTACTATACTAGAAAAACTACATGGATATCCAAGAGTATATAAGAGGAACGCGATGGAAACAACTTAAATGTTTAAGAGTTAAAACATCACAAATAGCAAAATATTTACATAGAGAATACAAGTACATATCTGCTTGAAAAGCTTATATTTACAATGCTAATACACAACTAACATTTATGTACAACAAAACCTAAATCATCAAGGAAACAGATTGATGATATGAGTGTTTGGCGTATTCTTCTGAAGGTCAATAAAAGTGCGAATCGCATGCTTTATAGTATCACATTGTAAATGAGGCGTGTCTAAGTCGCTTCAATGCGTAAATCACTATTACTATTGGTTAACTGTATCTCGAATTAAGAAAAAAAGATTCTAGCTTATATTTGTGAAATGAACGGCTTCTATACAAATTTGAAGACAGATTTTCCCGCCTTTATTTTTCTCTGAAATATTTTAAACGCCAAACTTGTGAATATGATAACTACACGATGCTTATATATTTTATAGAACGTCTTCCCTTAATCAATTTCGATTATTATTTAAATAATAAAGAGACATGACCAAGTCCTCGATCCGTTTATAAATTGACGTATACATTCGAAAACGGACCGTTCGTTCATCTGTAATTTTAAGATACATGTAATTGTTTTATCTTTGCTATATATTTGTTGATGTGCATTCATTACATCTTTTAAGGGTTTCTTCCGACTTCAACTTCCTCCTATGTTATGCATGTTTGTTAACACAGTAATTGTCTAATTACTAGACTGATAGGCCAACATTATAAACATATTTTTTAGCTGTATTTGCGATCAATGTTAATGTTCTAGTGATGAAAAAAGCAGCATTCATTATTTTAATCTAACCTCATTTGTTTCCCCGAAAGCAGTTCAACCTGCTGTAACAAAGTTTTATGAATTATGAATCAATACATATAGAAACAATAATGTACTTTCAGTCGACGGTTGAGAGGACATATTTACATCGTTTATTCAAAATAGCCCCAGCAATCAAGATATTCCTCTATCAAGCCGCCTTTAACTTCTGACCAAGATGGCCGAATTGATTATGCTGGGATATACGTGTTTTTTGATTGGTGAAATCAAAATGTTTTAATTGTGAATTAAGCACAACGAATATAACACACCACAAACTTAATTTATATATACACACTTAGATGTCATAAGTGTACACTGAAAAGGTTATTTATTTAGCAACATGTTTTTTTCGACACATCTCAAAAGTGTAATATTTTCTGCACAGAAATGAAATTATTTTGAGGAGGCGATTGCAATAACAACAGGTTATACGATTTAGATGTTGAGTTTTCAGAGAATGACAAAACAAACAATACTCTTAAAACATTTACTGCATGGCCAGTTACAGTCTCATATACAAACCTATCTTTCAATTACTGATGTATATTTAAACGACAATTAAGCAAGCTATCAAGTAAATTGAGTAGCTAGATTTACGTACTGGAGAGGACTCATTTTGCGCTATAATAGTTTTACGATTTAGTGTCAAAATCCACGCCTTTATATATATATTAAATACTTAAACACTGACATTTGTAGCCGTTTGATTATTTCAATAAGACGAGAAGAGTAGCATCTGCATTTTAACCAGTGTGTGTTGAACCAGAAACCAGTAATGTAATATTCTCGCACTGAAACAAAAGCTTGCTGGACGGACGGGCAGACAACCATGAGACATCACAGTGTTCAATGTGAACCGGTTGGTAATGGAAACGGAGTTTTTCCTTTGATATTAAAATAATCCATGTTTTGTAAGTTATGTGTTGTTGACAATGTGTATTTTCAGTATTTATCTGGTAATTCAATGGCATGTTCGGTTATAATAATGCTGAAACCTAGCCACCAATCAGAGATAAGACTAATGAAGATATTCTGAATGCTATCCGGTAGAATGTAGTATAAAAACAATGTATTAAGAAATTAACACATAATAATGATTTAATTATAAAAATATTAAAAAGAATGTAATAAAATATTAATCTACCAAAATGATATCCATAATAAAAAAACAACCACGATATCTATGATAAACATTTGATTCATCGAAGAGCGCATACTATATAAATACATACACATACTCTACATGTACTCGATATTAGACATTAATCAATGTACAAGTAAGTAAGAAATTCTGGCCAAATAAAGTGGCTTAATTACGTACCAAACACACACGTCAACTACAACAAACATGTGTTATAAGAATATCACCAATACTTTAAAATAATTTCAATACATAATGCATCTATTAAACAATGTCATATCTTTGTTCAAGTCAGTGATTTGAAATGCCTCCAAAGAAAGAAATAACATGTCTGACGTCAAATGTCTGATCATGCAAAACACAGTTTTTGTATAAATGGACAACTGTGTTTTCACAGAGTGTCTTTTACATTCAGTTGTGTAGTTAATATAGAGGAAAATAACACTATTTTCCACTATAGCATCCATAGAATATTATAGGTTTTGGTGGATAGATAATCTCTCTTAACCAAATGAAAATGCATGTTTTCCTCAAGCGTAACGTCACGACAATGAGTGATAGGCTGGTTGGCTGCGCCAAACTTCACAATACGTCCTTGATTGAGATAATACCAGGTCACACCCATCCCTCAAAATACGCCGATGATTGAGATAGGATATCGATATACAATTCCTCACCATATTGAACATTTATGCTTTGGGTTCATTCTGCTGCCTGGCTTACACTTATACGCCTCTGAGAAGTCCTTGGAGTTAGACAATGGACCCAGTACCCTGAAACGATAATCGGTTAGAATAGATAGGAAGAAATACAAATCCTACGTAACTCTGTAGGCAATTATATATTCCTTGGTGAGTACCGTATTATCATGCTTATATTAATCACAGGGCTATCCTGTGATTCAGTGAATGCGATCATGTTGACATAATTTTTTGACGTACAAAGTGGTCTATAAACATAAAATCAAAACGACGATTTCAATATGACCAGATAATACCTGTGTTTTTTGCGCAATTATTCACTTGTTAAGACTTAAGAATCTAATATATCAAATATGACTACAAACTCTTGAGCGACGCCCATTTACATGGGAAATGCTTAAGTCAATGGTTATTTGACAAAGAAGTAGTGTATACATACCTGATAGATCCGGGGCTGTGGACAGAGGTTCGAATCTCATGCAGAGCTTCTTCATTGCGCATGCTGCCACACCATATCTGTTAATTATAAGTATGATAATTAAATTGAATCCAATTGAAATCTGTCATACATTATATACAAATGCATATCCTTGGTTAATACGATAAAATAAACTGTCAGAATCGAAATGCTGCACAAATGTGTTTAAATGTACCGACATAGAACAAAATGTTTAGAAATCGTGTTTCGTCAATAAAAACGAACACGAAATTATCTTATATAAAAATACCTGTCAAATATAAACTCATTCCAAAAGCATTTGTTCTGCAATCATAGACCGTGTTTAAATAGTATGTTAAACATGATTATTTTAGCGAGTTAGGGAATACCTGTCCATAATTTAGAAAGAAAAGTTGATCATGTGTCAGGTCCAAACTTGGCAAAGGTAATTCTTCCCCGTGTTTCGCCACCCATTTCTTGTAGGCCTGTGTAGGTAGACAAACTCATGGTTTACGTTGTTAAATGTTCAAAGTATAGTAAAGCAGTTTGCGCAGTTGCACAGGATATTAAACAAACTCAGAATAATACCAAAATGTCAACAAAACTGTTATTCGAACTCAAAATCATTAAAATTAGGGCAAAATATGAACAAATAGGACTGTTTATTTCATCGCCGACACCCGTCATGCAAGTCAAGGTCAAATCCAAGTAATACCATGCCAATGAAACGAGAGCTGGGGAAGTTGCAACAGATCAATAGGGCATATTGATGAGCATAATAAAAAACGACATTTGTACCTCACGTGACAGTTGAGGGATACAGCCTTCATTAGTCTGAACACTACTTTATTTAGGAGCAAGTAAAATGATAACAGGTTGATTCCTAAATGGGACTTGAAAAAAGAAACTTAGAGTTTCCATTACTTCCTCATCTAAGACGCAGCCGAGGTTGAACTAACGGGACAGTTTTTGGGATTGAACCTACTCTATCAGTTTTGAGGACAATCTGCTCTTCCGGACTGTTGATGAGTAACCTTTCATATCAGATTGTTGAGGTTAGACTTACCCTATATGACTGTTTCAGGCCTCCGTTATCTGCTATATTTTCACCCTGGGTATTTTTACCATCAATCTGCAATAAATTATATTTTCAAATTGACAAAAGTCTTTACTCTAACTCAAGACACACACATAGTGGAACGATATTGAGAATCGTGTAAATGGGGTTTATATGAGTCTGTACATTATACGTCTCGGTCAGTTTTAGTTAATGAATTTATTGCTTCCTAAAATGACGGGCATTTTATGCATGTGTAATATTAGTTTTGTTTGAGAATTTGAATTTAATAACGAGGATATCGTTTGCAGAAACATTCACCAACATGACGGAAAGGTCCGACTGTGTATTGATGACCTTACCGGCACTGACACAATCCATACACACAATGCATAAAGTTAAACAAAAACATTGAAATATATTTTTTGTTGAACATAATTGGTATTGATAGCAATGTGACTAGATCGCTGACACCGGGTACGAAAGCTGCTCACATGAAGTCCGATTTGTTCGAGGGTATAACTGGAATACTGGTCTATGACACATTGGGCCTGCTTTCTGAACGCCTCTATTGTCTCATTCTTCCACCATTGTTTCATGTTCCCGTTTTTGTCGTATTGACGACCTGGAGACACACATAGAAATTACATTGGTGATATGTGATGAACGCATCAGTCTATAACATTATTGATAACTTTTATATAACAATGCACACTAGTAATTGTAATTCATGATGCAAGGGGGATTCTAATCGATATATTAAAATTAATTACAAAGAATTAAACACTTTCTCACTCTACCATGTTATCATTACTCGGTTGATAATGGTTGACATTTCATGGTCAATATTATATAAGGTGTTGATTTAACCAATCACGTTTTCCGCAAAAAAACGTAAAACGTTACAGGAATTCCATTGGTTAATGCACAGTTTACGATCTTCTTGAGAACTGTGACCGTGCAGAATATGCAACGTCAAAATGCTTTGCAATGTCATACGTAATGTATTTTTTGTCGCATCATCATGGTTTTCTGCTATGTATTTTACAGGTTGGAAGCTTGCGTTATGTTCGGATAGAGTATGGCCGATACTACGGGGAAATTTTCCGAAACACTTGAAGAATGGTTTTCTTGTACATCTTATTTTTTATTTACTTTTAAATTGATGTACTCGAGATAAATAAACATCTTAAGTAACAATCACGAGTTAAGGAATATCTATGTTTCTTTATTAATAAGTCACTAGTACAACCATCGTCAATTGCAGGGTACTAAGTACATATGGAGCTTTATCAGAGCATATCAGCCATCATATAATATGCTGTAGAGTTATAGTACATCTTCTCGCAGGTTTATCATTTTACTTAGGGTATAGCCAAAAATCGTTTTCACTATATATATTCAAAATTTTATATTTGACAGGGATGAGATTCTGCGTATGGTATAACATAATGTAATGTTTACCTTTGTCATCAAAGCCGTGAGTGATCTCGTGTCCGATCACCACGCCGACACCGCCATAGTTTAGAGATCTGTTGATACCAAATACAGAGTAAAATAGTTAAAAAAGTGAACATGTACATCTTTATCTAGCATGTTCACAACGGATCTTAGTTGAAAGAGTTTTTAAATACTTTTGTTTTCAGTTTCAACAAACATTAAAAGTTATTTAAGCTTGTTTTCATATTACTCATACCAGTAAGAACAGTTAAGAAGTCTTTTTCTGACTGCATGCAGATTACAGAAACATATAAAACATATGCACGAATTTAAATTTACAGAAACGTTAAGAATATGTTTATTTTAATGACAAAAATAGAGGTGTGATATTTTTTGATATGCTGCATATATCTAAGATGATTTGGCTTTGCTTATACTCACTTGGGAAATTTATCACTGTAGAACAAGGGCTGTAAAATACCAGCAGGAAACACTGAAAGGGAAAATAACACTATTTATACCATATGAATAATTTATTTTATTAAATAGCATTAAATGACACAAGTCAAACCACCGTAGTTGAATAATGACGAATATATTGACGCTGGTAAAATATAACCTTATTTTGATTGATTATCAGAGAGCAAAACCTATTTTCAGGGACATGTTCTATATTTCTTTACGAATATTTCCTTATCCGATCATTCGTAAGTTTAAAAGATTTGACATTTGAATTTATATTAATAAACTAATTTATTCCAGAATAGTTTTATTACCCCATTACAATGTTCTTGTGGTTTCCTTATTATTTATCAAATTGAATTGGTCTTGTGCCAGAGGACAATGTTGCATAAGATGACGCTTCAAATTAAACAAAATTATTGAAGTGCAAGATTTATATATCAATTGCAAAGGATTGAATAAATATTTGATCTCTTTAAAATTACAAATTATTAAGCCACTAATGCTTAATTGTTCTGCAATCTCGTAATAATAGCAAAACTTTCATTATCAACATGGTATATATAATTAGTTTAATACCGACTACCTTTTGTTCATGTGTTATCGTTTATAATGACCATACTATCATTTTAACGTAATAAATATTTGCTTGTTTTTTAATTTTCCCTGTTTAAAACGTCCAGTTAATGTCAACTTTGTGTATTGAGGAAATGAAAAAAAAAAAAAAAACTGCTTTAGCTGAATTAAACTCAAGGGAGATTACTCATACAAACCTATATCGTTCGTGTTTGGATTGTAAAATGCATTAACCATTGCCGGTCCCTGGTCCCATCTAGAAAAGAAGAAAACAACGACAGATAATAATGAAGACAATACTTAAAACAAATAAAAAAAAACCTTACGTACATTAATTTCAAGTATGCATACTTGTGATATCATATTGGCACATATATTACTGCAATAATAAATATTCCCTTACAAAATGTGGCATGTATATCGTTGCAAAATTGTAAATAAATTGTAAAATTAATTTGTTTTGATTCAAATATAAATAACTTTTGATTCAATTGCTATGTCTTTTATTGTAATGTATATTCACGATTTAGCATCTATATTCATGAACAAAAAATGTAATACAATTAACTTAGTATTTTCTTGAAGAACATGTTCTAATATGAAATAATAATAAAAAAAAAAAAATACGACATGAAAACTTACGCATTTTTGTCCACAAGATGGCGCAGCTTTGTCATCGTCATTCGTGCATCGTACAATTCGACATTGAGTATATTCTCAAAGTAATGGTCTTCTTGAAAATGGAGCTAAGCAGGAAAGCATTTGTTTTAACATTTATACATTCATTTGTAAAGCAAAACATATTAAAACACTTGAAAAACAGCATTTTTTTTTTTTTTATCTTTGGTACTTTAACTTGAAAGGTAATTTGATTGACGTTAATGTTTAACAAAATGATACTATTAATTTATTGTAATTGAAAAAGAGAGTATAAAATACTTACAATATCATATTTTGCGTCGAGTTTGTCAGGTTCTGTTAAAAAGTCTGGGTATCCGATTCTTTCATTCATTGCGTTTGCCTTGTTGGAAAGATAAGATAAATAAATGAACAGAAACATTCACAAACATAACCGTAAGATAAAGGACACTGATTTCACCTCCATGATAATCATCTTGTTACTAGATGATGATTATATTTAAAAATAGCTTAATACAATCGAATAACTATGAAAGGTTCATATCAGAGGTTTAAAAATCAATGGCACTTTAAAGGATGGTAATGACACTTACAATATCGAAAAGAAATAGGGTTGAATAATATTTAACTTACCTGAAAGATTCGCTTACCTTCTGCCGTGCCACTGCACGTGTAGCGTCATCCATCCACTCGTTCTCCTCCAACAGTTCGTTGAATGCCTCTCTTATGTTGTGTATCATCGTCAGTGCCTGGCGGGAAAAAACGTCAGAAAGTTGTGTGAGAGTAACAAAAATACTTGAACCTCGTTACACATCACTATGCAAACATTCTAAGGGATAACATCTAATTTTAACATTTAAATACACCCATCGTTTTCTGTGAATATAACCACCTCGATACTTATCAATCTTAACAAAGGTAACTATTGAGAAGCATGTCTTCTCAAGCGCAGTGATTGTGAATCTTATCTGATTATCAGTACTGGTAAACCTACATTAAATGTGTTTTTCTTGTAATTTGATATTTGTTGGACAGACACTTGTTAGTATTTCGACGCATACTCACCGATTCTTTGCTCTCTTTACGGAAGTTGTCTCGTATGAACACAGCGCCGACTGCCATACCTAAACGGTCATTCACATACCCAACACACTTCTGCCAGCGAGGTTTATCCATCGTTATTCCCTTAAAAGGCAACCATGTTATGCATTCAGCGGTTATTGAACTTCTGTCTGCATAACTAAGTACATGATATGTACACACACTAATGTTTTAAGAATTGCAATACGTCCGTAGATTTCTGTTTCGAGTCCTTACTAATGAAAACAAATGCCTTTCTGATTTTTTATTGAAAATGTTAATTAAACTATCTATATTAACTCTGGTTTATGATTTCATTTAAAAATTCAAGCTTTCGTCTTTTAACTATGGCTATTGGCTTCAAGGTAAAAGTCCCGCCTATGAATAAGAGACATACCCACGTTTAAAAGCAGCCCGTTTTTAACGCTTAAATGTTACGACTAGCAATATATCAAAACAATCTAACGTTTATATCAACGATCAACAACATACCTGGAGTACCCGACGGTATTCTCGCCGAGCTTGCTGGTAAATTTCTGTCATTTCTGGCGCAAACCCCATGATTACCCGCCATAGAATGTAATTTGACAAAACTCTGTTGGAAGTTAATAAAGTATTACTTGTAGCTTGGTATGAATCTGTGTTGAATTACATATATATGAAATACAGTTTGAAAAGAATATGATTGTGTTTTGTATTGATATAGCAAATATTTGAAATATTCTGTTTCCTTGTTAAAAGGTCGATGTTTGATTCTTCTCATTAGTGTGCCTTGTTTTCATTGGAGGACGTTACTTGGATTTGACCTATCATCGGTTAGTATTGTCGATGAAGCAGAATACGCGTACCTATCTGGAACTTTCCTTGTACTTTTTCAAAGGTCGTAATGCATATCGTTCCTTTAAATATTGCCCTAGTTGTATCGGCGTTTAGTATTTTTCAAGACTTCTACACTGGTTTGGTGTGTCAAGGAACATAATACGGAGTGTGTGATAGTGCTCATTGCGTTGGGCTTTTCAGAAAATCATATAAACAATATTGCATATGCATTTTTAAAAGGAACCCTAAATGTTATATATTGTTCATTAATTTTACTTCCATAAGATACTTCCGTCAGAAAATAATTGTGAAGATAATTCTATACAAAATACGTAGATGTATAATATTATAATGCAAATCAAAATGATATAGATTGTGAAAGGATATATACTTAATGACGTATTTAATGAAATGATAACAAATAATTGATTAAGCATTCTGTAAACATTTAAAATGTCGCAAGCAATTTGCGACTTACTAACATTTATGTTTTTCAAACTTCCAATCAATACAAATTGTCTTGAAGAAGAGAAATTTCGGTATAGATTCCAGTCTTCAGATGACCACCCACCTCTTGTCCGTGACCTCTATGAGGTCAGTAAGGACTGATAGATAATCCGTTGCAAATGTAACGATTTGTTCCGAATCATCAAAAGCATCCTCGACAAATACACTGAAATAACGCATCCAGTCGAACTACAAGTAGATAAATCTCCAATCAAACAAAATCATTTAACGATCAGGACCTAGTTGTTCAAAAGGTGATTAGCTTAATCAGTGATAAGCGCAGATTTGAAGTTATGCATTATGCATACAGCATTCTTAGGAAAGATTTAGTGACCATACATATGCTGGAACGGTTCTAGTGAGACATCATACTAGAGGAAGTATTTCTTCACAGTATATTTCGGGAAGCGCTTAGTGACCATGTAACGTGAGTGGGGAAATGCTCCTGTTACCAAAGCTTCAATTCAATTTCTCATCGATTCACCATTTCTCATTTGTTGACACTGTTGCATTCTAATACCTCTAAACTAAACTCATTTAACGCCCAAAAAATACAACTGGCCAAATTTTAAAGTATAAGAAATTTAATCTAACCTTGCCATAGCAAACACTGCCATGGCAAATAGACCTGAAATTCGCGAAATATAGATCCTGTGAAATTGACTTAAACAGCAAAATCCGCTAAAAATAGGGATAACAAAACTAGGAATGCAGACACGCCATGTCTGTTTATTCACAAACTATAACATCAAATAGTAATGGGATTCTAGAGCACCTGTATAGCACAACCTTCTATCTATAAAAAAAAGCAAGAACTGATAAAAATAAAATCCCTTATTTTTTCAGGTAAAAAAACAAGGCTTGTAGGGCTTTTGAGTTCAGGCTTATATTTTGGTGTTTTCTCTGTTTCTGCTGTCAATTCTTGCAGTATTTGAGTCCTGATTGTCTACCTGTGTGCTGATAATGTGATCAACTTTGTTTCTACTATACATCAAATGAACAGGAAAGCCTGGTCGACAGTGATAAAAATAGAAAGTATTTTGTCACCACAACATGGAGCAACATGAAAATAATAATTTGCTTTGGGTGTTTTTTTCGGTCTGTCTATCCGTTTGACATTGAACTATTGACTCGCTGCATTTGTTACGTAAGTTTTAATTTCAGAATATCTGCTTGAGTTTCAGCTTCGTTTAAAAATTATAATGTAAAAGCACTATTATTTTTCTGGAGCCAATTATTCTTATTATGAGGTGTAAGGTCATCAACTTTAATATGCTCCAGGGAGGTGAAGTAATACCCACTAATACCATGTCAACCCACCTTATACATTGATGTTTGACCTTCATTGCATCAATATCTTTCCCCAAAAATACGTTCGTAACTATAACACAGAATCTTTTAATCTGGTATTCAGTGAATTTTAGAAAAAAAACACCAAACCTTCTGCGTGTAAAATTGGTTATCAAAAGAAATAAGTTTTTCATTCAAGATATAACGCCTTTCCGGGTTATAACTACGGGAAAGGCTCACAATAATTTTGCCTTTTCCAGCTGCCTAACCATATCAACACAAGATGGGGGATACTGATACTGGTGCTGATACACTGTCTTAATAATTTGGTGATATAGCCACTAGGCTATACGTTATTTTTACGTTAATTTGCCCTCTGCGTGCTATCTAAAAACGCGGACAATATGTTGACGAATTGTTTACAAAAATAAACTCAAAAAGTGCGGTCTATGCCATTTTTCCTCAGTTATAAACATATATAATATTGGCACAGAATTAATAGAATCCATCCCTGATGTGAGGTATGGATAAAGTAATTCAAACCCAAGGGATACAATATTGAGCAGGAGACCCGAGGCTTTGCTAGAGACGACACGAATAATAACGTGACCCCGAAAGATTACCATAATTCCCCCGCCAGCCTGTGCGTGTAAGCGATCCAGACCCGTGGGTCGGATAGAATTTTCCAGCACTATGGTCTATGTGGAGTACCTAGTGGACCATCAGGAGTCGCTATTGCTGTTTACATCAGAACAATGTAAACGGAAGTATCAATTACTAATATAGCGGAACTAGACTGGAACGATCGTCGGCGACCAGGTAGCTCAATTGGTAGGGCGCCCGTCTATAATACGGAGGGTCCGGGGATCGAACCCCAGTCTGACCGTTGCATTTCAAGTTCTCCTGTTAGAAATGATGCGCCCAATGAAATATACACACGGAAGGTGGTATTTGGTCTCATGTGTCTTCGGAGTTGAGACTTTGTTAAGGGAGGAAGGAATGTAGTAGAACTGCACTTGGTAGATAGTCGGCGACCAGGTAGTTCAATCGGTAGAGCGTCCGCCTAGTGTTCGGAGGGTCCAATATTCGAACCCCGGTCTAGCCGTTGTATTTCTCGTTCTCCTGTTACACTAACATAGCTACATAGTTAGGTAAGTACAGGTGAGTTCTCTAAGTACCTGACGTTTGAAGTGGAACTGGTTATCATTGCTTATAACAGATGGGCAATCTACCGGAGCGGGCAATTGGCGGCAGACGTTATTTCATGAATACGATCTTTTGCGGTGTGCAGGCAATATACCAGACTGGACAATACGCAAGAATTTACGGTAGTTGTTTTATGCAGAAGCGACAGCATCCGATACATGTGTCATGTTCACAAATCACAATGGAAGAATACTTATTTGATTGTTTTCATCTAAAAGGAGAAATCTGATCAAAATGTGAAAGTGTTAAAACGCAATCAAGCAAATGAAAACTTTACGATATAAATATACAATTTAATTCTAGATGTGGGACTCTGCTACACAATAAGAAATTGAATAACGCAGATGGCGCATGAACATGTCTGGTCTAATGAAATGAAACGTTGCGCCTGTATGCATATTTACCAATGTGAATAATAGAAATTTATATATACACCATAGAAAACGATCGTAAATGGTTTTTTACATCTATTCAATCAATTCACTTCTGTATGTCTGACAATTATGTACATTGATTCAAGTGTCCCTGTCATGATCTAAATGAAACCAGTGATATATGTAACAGCTCAGCTAGAAGTGTGAATGACGTGCTATCAGAACCAATTCCCTGTAGAATATGCTCGCTTTGACACCTCCTACCTTTGGAACGCGTCTCTGTAGGTCCCTGATGGCTATTTTACTATAAAGAGCTCCGGTATCATGCCTCTCCGATTGCGGTTTCGTTACCTACAACATGACAAATGGGGCTATGAAAGATTTTGATGAGACTTCCTGAACGAATGAATGTTTGCAGTTATATTATTTCACTGTCATACACTTTGCTGTACGATCACAAATTGACACGCTATGTACATATGATGTAATTCGATAAATGTTTATATTTATATTTCAGAACATTTCAAAAAAGATAAACAAATGTTTGATGTTTATTAAGTGTATAATATGATTTGACAAGAGCAATTGTTAGCCAAATGTGGTTTACATAAGAACACATTCCACCACGGTGATGTTGTAACGAGGCATGTCATTAGATTATAATAATGTATTTTACAAAAGGCATGCACGTGCAGATGTTATCTAAAAATAACACAAAAATACAGAACATGCGACGCACTGAAATCCTCCCTTGTATTGCGAAGATTAATTAATAAGCCGTTCGTAATGAGTCTTGGACCCGTTTGCATTTGTTGGGAAAAGGAAAAGATTTACAGACGAAAAGCACTGCATCATCTAATAATATTACATATTGCTGCGTTTAACATGAGGTTACGACCTCTCTCCCTGTCAATTGTTTACACGCGCAAATAAGCAGCCCAATTAAAATAAATTGAATATGTAGGTCACGTTGTGATAACGACACTAAGTTAAATTCCATGGCATTTTGACTGGTAGAATAGATATAATCATAATATGTATTTCTATATTATGGCTAAATATATAACTTGCGATTCAGAAATGAAGCGGCCTATTTTTGTATAATAATAATTTGTGACCTCATTACATTGTGCATTGATACAATATCGGACCTCGTAACTTAATAAAGGCATAGTTTGTTTACCGTCCGCCGTGAAGTCGCCCGTAAGGAAATTGTTTAATTGTTATTGTGCTAGTTAAAATTGATACCTAACATTATTGCATTCATTTTAAAGATGAAAGAAGATATCTAAAATAAATGACAAAATAAAACATGTAATATTCTGCAATTTAATTTTGAAAATTTGATTAAGTAGTTTAATCGTACTTCCATAGATAACTCAAAAGCATTAAAAATGTAAGGAATGTAAATATAAGGAATGGAATTTAACGCGAATTGCATTGCTTTAAGATGAGTTTCCTAAACATAGCTATGTTTTGGTTATTAGCTGATGAAGTAGCAATCAGTTTCCAAGCTAAAACATATCTGATATAAATTTATTTTAATAATTATGTAGATAGATGTGATTAAACTATGAAGAGAATCATAAAGATGTCGTTAAGTAAGCATATTTAATCATTTCACTGACAATTATTCATTATGATATGTTATACGATGGTAATACAGAAATAATTGCAAAATGATCATTTCCTGATAAGGTTAAGATAATATGGGTATTTCATTGCGCATAGGTGAGAAAGCCCAAGAATGGGCACGTATCGCTTATCTATTACTTTATGTCATTAGAAAATGTATATACATGTATGTGTTATCTGTGACCTTCAAAGTAAGTCAGATTCGAATTCGTTTAACAAAATTGATAAACAGCTACAAAATCATAGATTTTAACAGTTTCAGCCTAGTTATCTAAAAACGGGGTCTAGTAAATTAATGCGTTTTGGCAACATGCTAAAGGCAAAATCATCTGGCTCTATTTATTTTTTTATTAAACAGAATTTGATTAAAATGTTGAAACATATTATGACCTCGAATGAGCGTAATTTATGGTCGCAGTCACAGTCAATGTTCACAACCTAAAGCTAAATGTATGACTACGTCTTATAATTCTTCAAAAGAATGAGGTCAAGGAATTTTGATAAACTTTGTCGAAATGTATTCCATAACTCTATTAGCCAAATATCATAACCCCACGCCCACAAGTACCTGAATCTGAGGTCTTTTTCATTTAAAAAACTTCCTGATATATTCCTCCTTGGGATCCTCACACGTGTTAATTACAGCTATGATCTTGCCCTATTTTGCTAGCGCTCTGTATTTCGATTTGAAATAAACAGTTTTCTTAAAGTAAAGAAATTAAACTTAATTTCAAAATATCAGTTTTCAACCTTATCGTTTGGAATGTCTGTTAGTTAAACGTTGATCAACCAAACCCTGATAGTAGTTGCCATCTAATTATAAGTAAATATTATTTATATAAAATACAAACGCGTGCTTGTTTCCACTATCGAATATTACATGTACGTAATGTACGTATATAACGTGACCTGTATTACAGTCTTTAAGTCTAAACTTTAGGAGGAACTTTTCAAAATTTTAAAGCTTTTTGATAAAACATAACTGAATCCTGATTATAAGTTGATGAGGTAGTAATCAGTTTCGATGCTAAAACATATCTGTTACAAGTCTTAATTTAAAAATTATGAACATAGCTGTGATTTAAATGTCAAATGAATCATACAAATGCTGTTGAGTTGACAGATTAATTACTTCATTGACAATGATTCACTATGATATATTATATGAATTTAATGTAAAAATCATTGCATAATCATCATTTACTGATAACGGTTAATACGATATCCAAAACAGAACTTCATTGCACACCTGTAAATAAAAAGAAGAGGTCTAATTGACATGTACCACTAACATGTTCCTCAAGGATGTTGTTCAATGCATGCCTGCTCTGCTACCTTCAAGGTACATCAGTTTCAAATTTGTTGAAACAAAATTATTGATAGCAAGCTACAGGTACATGTAACCGTTTTTAAGATATTTATCTCTCTATTTAAGAAATCATTTGAACAAACTTGAATGCCTTTGACTTATCATGATATTAGGCAAAGGACTTCTGTCTAGGCTTCTTTATTATCACAAACAATAATACTTCAATGCGGAAAATGGAAACACCGTTTAATACAAATGTTTGCTGATGCAGAATGTCAAACAAAATGAAAGTATTACTGCATCATATAACCACCTCGCCCAATTAGGTCTCGTCAGACGTATTAAAGTCAACAGGGTGAAAAGTTCATGTCTACAATGTTCCGAAACTGATGTAGAATACATAGAAAAGGGAATTTTGACTTTCAAGAACCTTTATAATGTTATAACAAAAACGGTTAGAATTTAATGTTAACTCTGTCCAAATAAATTCCAGCTGCAAGCCCACTGCCATTCTCGAGGACTTATAGCCCACTAACAGAGTCAATCACCTTGTTATCTAAAATAAGGACAGGAAGTACGAAGATATGAAGCCTCTATTAAAAACAGTAGTCTGCAGAGGTAGAAACAAATGGTTGAGGAATGCCGCACCTTGACTTGTTCAAGACTAGTATTAATAAGAAAGGTCAGCAAAAAACGGTAACTGTTACATTTGTGTACGGAAAGTGATATTTCCTGAATATCTGACTCCATGATGTCTGTGATACTTGCCCACACGAACATGTATATTTACAGCTCCCACACGAGGCATTATCAGATGTACGTCATACTATGTTGTACCTATATTTCATGTTTAAACCAATAGCCAATATATTAAATACTGCTCATCACTTGAATACCAAGCATGATTTGTTTTCGTTCAGTGTATATTCGCAACCTGCAACAAAAACTGGACGATATCCTTGAGAGAAATCGCGATTTCAACGAGTTAAGAGGTATAAAAAGGGTACTTACGTTTGCCAGTTTCGTTTCAAAATTTAAAACATTGGTCATGTCCTCTCGTGCACGTGCTGGTGAGGCACCCAAAAGTCCGGCGAACCGTATCATGTATTCCAGGTAGGCGGCTTTATAGCCCGAACTGTGATCTGTCAGGTAGTACTCCGGGCTAGGCATTCCCAGGGCTGGCTGGTCCAACTATATCGTCAAAGATAACCCGCATTTAACAATAGCAATTTTCGTTTTTCATTTTCTTCAGATAAAGGAAATGTATCGAGGGTATACATTTGAGACACTTTTCCCTTTGTCACCTGATTTGGAGGTTGTAGGTTTCACATTTAAGTATTAACCAGATAATATATCATCGATCTTTTTTTGCTTAGGAGTCAGATCAACAATGTTAACCGTTTATTGGATGACACAAAGACGACTGCTTTGTAGCATGGACCGATTTCTAAATGACATTTCATTTGGTTTTGTATGGAATCATGAATGCATAAATTTTCACCATCTTAATCAAATGTAATGTACACTCTTCATGTTAATGTTTATGGAGATGCATGCATGGTTCAAAATATCGGATTCCCCTTATTCACAATGCATATGCTTAGTAAGAATACAGCGAAATTCTCTTGTTGAGATTATCCGCAATTCTTGAACAGTACAGTATTCATTTTGAGTTGCATTTCAAAACCCTCTATTCCTAATTGTTTATTGCTGGAGAATCGCAATTAAGGTTTTCATATCAAATAAGTTAACACTGAGTGTACATGCTGACTCTGTACACAAACAAAGCAATTAAAAAGAAAATCTAAATAATAAGAAGGCGATGTTACGTTGGGCATATACAACAGCGCTTTTTGTAAAACATTTTGAAGACTTGGTTCACTCCTCCGTGTATGATCTTATATCAAAGGATTCAGAATAGCGTCAGTACATCACAAGGGTGCAATCTGGTTAATTTTTTATTGCGTAAGTTCTACGGGTATAGACATAACACAGGAAACCATAGGGCAGTATCACATTTGCAATATTGATGAAGACAAATGCTTTATCCCTTTTTTTCTTAGTAAAGCTGTAACATTGTAGGCCAGACAATGCCTACCATTAGGAGCGCATGTGTCACCAGGCCGTTAGAGGATGATTTGTAGAGCACTATAAAGGGGGGCAGACAATGCTAGTATGACAAGGGTAATGTCTGCTTGTGCGAGACCTTACGATACCAGACGATGGTTCTAAAGACAGTATAAATCGCTACAAATAATGGCCCTAACATTCCAGAACCAGTAAGGTGTTTATATCTTCATGTTCGAATGATAAAAGTGAACATTTCTGTCTAGATCAGATGTTTCAGGCTTTAACAGTTCTGGAAATAAACACGTTTCTGTTATCGGCATATTAAGTGTGCTAACACCTACAACATATCAGTTACGCCAGTACGATGATAAATGTTCAGGGGAAAATTGTCTTCATCTTCATCGCTACTTTTATTGAAACACTTTATTTTAGAGGGCGATAGATAAAAGTTCACCCTATTCCTTAGACATAGACATTAGAATCGAGACTGACAGGACTCTCAAGGGCATCGGCCAATACAGAGTAATCTAATTGCTCGGTGGTAAGGCGACAAATATGCCGGAATCTCCCTGCACGATCTGAACAATCTAATTAGTGGTCCAGTGTGGCACGCTTTCAGTGTCAGCCTCGAGGTGAAGGCTGGGATCCCCAGGAGACACCTCCCCACTGACGGAGGTATAGCGCCTTCCATTGTCTGACTTTCTGAACATAACTCGAATTATGTTTCCTGTTTAATGACTTCCTTGTCGGTACTTATACGACAGCAAGCTAACGTTATAGCGGTGCACCATTAAACGACGAGTGACACCTCAGTTCCCTTTACACTTTCTTATATGTGTGGCATTGACTCATTTTTGAACGTTGAGAATTGTATGTTTGTGACTTGACCCGTGATGCTATATCCATGCTGAATGGTTAAGTGTTTCAGACGTGTGGCATTACCGTTGCTTTAATATTGTATGTATGTGAAACTTGGCTTCTTTGCCTGTGGTCTGATCTTTTATGTTTGGTCATAGACATTGATGGCATGACCCTTGTTTTGCTGTTTCAGTTGTGTGAAATGGCCCCTAATTGGGTATTTAAAGATAATAGCAGGACATATGTGTCGCATGTATTTTATGCGTTCGAAGGGGCCCTTGATTGGATAGTGTAGCTGGGTATATATGACAGGTGCTAGATTGTTGAGGGTGCATTGTATGATCCTTTCTGGAGTGATATATATGTAACAAGGCCATTGTTTGGTTGATAGAGTTTGTAGCTGTCATCTCAAGGTTCTTGTTGGAGTGTTGAAGGTGTGTTACCGAAACGCGTTTAGGGTCCTGTAGGTTCGTAGTAGTGTTCAAAGGTGTATGGAATGTCTCGCGTTCGGTGTAGCAGGAACCTTGTTAATTTTCAGTGTTCACAGGTGTAGTAGGTATGTGTCTTTAGGATGCAATCATTTCCTTGATAGAAAACAAGTTTCCCTAAAATAGTCCTGATGGGTTTAAGTTGACACTTCATTTCGGGATGCTGGGAACTTGGTAATAACAAAAGAGTTATTGTTGTTGGTGTTTACCATCTTAATTTTCTTAACTACCGGCTCTTTTTCTATTGTAATCTTTTTTTATATTTGAATATTTTTTGTACTATCGTGATGACACACATGTACGTTTACATTATGTTTATCGATGAATCTAAACTCATGTATTTTTAGTATATCGGAATTATCCAAGACACCCTGAAGGGGTGAAATGATTATTAGATTCATAATAAACGTCATTATGAATAAGGAGAATAATTCCATTATCTGTTTGTACGCGCACACCAATGCATATATGGAAGCATACGTAAACCAATTAATCGTTATTGTTTTGAGAGATCAAACACCCGCAAAGTTCATACTAAATTCAAATCAGCTTTGTTTGATACATTTATTGCTTGAATTATTTAGAATACTAATATGCCAATTCGACTTCCTACCTTATGATTTATTTATGTAGCCACAAGTTATCAATATTCATCTGATCTACATGGAAGTATGAATGCATGTATAATTACTGTAATAATAGCATGGTGTGACTTTTATCAGCTCTCCACTCTTAGTTTAGTTTACTAGAATACATTAGTACCATTGTAATATCCTTACGCTCAAACTGGAGACTCACAATTTGTCTATGGAAAGAAAACAATAAAATACCATATTTAGTCTTTTCAATATTCAACATGAGATTGTATTTAATTCGTTTCTGTTTATAATACACAATGTCTCATGTGAGACACAGACTAGTTTGTCGGAAACAACACATCGATCATGGCCACAGAGGCCATGTTTTTATTCATAAACGACAAAGATTCCTCGCATTATATCAGATCACGATGACAATCTAAATTGTCCTTTTAACCATGGTTACAAAGGTATAATGCAAGCACACTAAATAGCAGATGCCATTTTTATCGTAATGTCAACAGTTTAGCAATACTAAACCTAACCCTTGTTAACAGTTGTACACGCTCAAAACCACATGAGTATGTTGCAGCAAAGGTACCAAACTAAAGCTTAAAGTTAGATAAAACAATGATGAACCGCTTATCCATCCCTGACCTAACACGTAATCCTTATACGTTTGAGTCTCAGTAGTCCATTGTTTATATGGTGAGGCTCCATCCGTTTTTTGTTAAATATTGCCCTGATTAATAATCAATAAGAAAGCGACTGTACTGAGAAGGCTCCAATATAAATGTACAAGTGCCTACCTGTATAATATTTAGTGACGAGTTCTTGTCATCTGCCCCTACCCAGCAGTCAATGAGTATTGGGGCATTGTAAATTCCGCGCATCTTAGCAAGGACTTCCTCTAGGTGGAAATTATCAGCTGACCAAAGGTCATCAACAACTGGCCATCGCCCTAGGTCCTCCAACACCCGTCTTAGCGGCCGATCTCCTACTGCCTCTATCGTGGCTATCCAGTTGGAAAGACATAAATTGTTACACATATTAATAGGCATCACTGAACCAGATCACTTTCAATAGGTGGAAATATAAGCAGGGCATACGGTCATGTTCCTCATGTGATATAAGCATCTCAATTTATAGCGTGTTTATCTTGCAAGAACGAAATATTTGTATTGTCTTTAGCAGATTTGGCAGGGCAGCGGCTACCGCTAATGAAAATTATTAATACTATTCGTGTCAAAATTGTGGATTCTTAAATATATTGCAAAGCTACCAGAAAGTGCAAGATGGTAGATAGGACATTTACATTCCATATTCCTCTATGGAAGTGTAACTTTGCTCCGATATAAAAATATAACATAGTTTTAATATATGTATGGCCAATACGGATATCCAACCTTAGTTGTTGTAATGTGATGTTCGTTGCCAGAACAGAAAAAAAACATATTCTACCAGTCTTTCTTAACCTCAAAGTTTATTTCAACTTCTCAAAATTCCATACAACGATTACAGATTCCCCATTATATAAGGCAATAGACGTTTGGTAATACCACAGAGGGGCANCCCCCACACACACACACACAAAAACCCCGATGTATTGCAGTTTTGTTAAAAATCTCTGATTTGTCAACGTGTTAGTGCTGTCTCATTCGCTACGGCTAACGCCTATTATTATACCAGATATTCTCGAAGTGCTGCCACATGTGCTAGGTTATATCATATCACGATAAGGCTTGTTTAAACATTATAAATAGTTCCTTGATATGTCATTTGGTATGTGTGTTTTAGAATGTGTGTTTTATATAGTGTTGTGATCTCACTGTTGAACAATGTATCTGATGCAAGTATTTAAAATTATAAACGATATAAAGTATAATACAAATAACATTTCACATTAAACACTTCAGCATTGACTACTCATCTTAACCGTTAAACAGCACCATTGGATATATAGCTTCATGGTATTTATATCGCCCGAACAGAATTTGTATACTTAAACGTACAGCGCAGCAATCACATGGACTGTATGAAAGCCTATGCACAAAGTATTTGCATCCTGACATGGTCTACATACAGGATAGCATACTTGTACCCTGACAAAGTCTATATACAGGATAGCATACTTGTACCCTGACATGGTCTATATACAGAATAGCGTACTTGTACCCTGACATGGTCTATATACAGGATAGCGTACTTGTACCCTGACATGGTCTATATACAGGATAGCATACTTGTACCCTGACAAAGTCTATATACAGGATAGCATACTTGTACCCTGACAAAGTCTATATACAGGATAGCATACTTGTACCCTGACAAAGTCTATATACAGGATAGCATACTTGTACCCTGACAAAGTCTATATACAGGATAGCATACTTGTACCCTGACAAAGTCTATATACAGGATAGCATACTTGTACCCTGACAAAGTCTATATACAGGATAGCATACTTGTACCCTGACAAAGTCTATATACAGGATAGCATACTTGTACCCTGACAAAGTCTATATACAGGATAGCATACTTGTACCCTGACAAAGTCTATATACAGGATAGCATACTTGTACCCTGACAAAGTCTATATACAGGATAGCATACTTGTACCCTGACAAAGTCTATATACAGGATAGCATACTTGTACCCTGACAAAGTCTATATACAGGATAGCATACTTGTACCCTGACAAAGTCTATATACAGGATAGCATACTTGTACCCTGACAAAGTCTATATACAGGATAGCATACTTGTACCCTGACAAAGTCTATATACAGGATAGCATACTTGTACCCTGACAAAGTCTATATACAGGATAGCATACTTGTACCCTGACAAAGTCTATATACAGGATAGCATACTTGTACCCTGACAAAGTCTATATACAGGATAGCATACTTGTACCCTGACAAAGTCTATATACAGGATAGCATACTTGTACCCTGACAAAGTCTATATACAGGATAGCATACTTGTACCCTGACAAAGTCTATATACAGGATAGCATACTTGTACCCTGACAAAGTCTATATACAGGATAGCATACTTGTACCCTGACAAAGTCTATATACAGGATAGCATACTTGTACCCTGACAAAGTCTATATACAGGATAGCATACTTGTACCCTGACAAAGTCTATATACAGGATAGCATACTTGTACCCTGACAAAGTCTATATACAGGATAGCATACTTGTACCCTGACAAAGTCTATATACAGGATAGCATACTTGTACCCTGACAAAGTCTATATACAGGATAGCATACTTGTACCCTGACAAAGTCTATATACAGGATAGCATACTTGTACCCTGACAAAGTCTATATACAGGATAGCATACTTGTACCCTGACAAAGTCTATATACAGGATAGCATACTTGTACCCTGACAAAGTCTATATACAGGATAGCATACTTGTACCCTGACAAAGTCTATATACAGGATAGCATACTTGTACCCTGACAAAGTCTATATACAGGATAGCATACTTGTACCCTGACAAAGTCTATATACAGGATAGCATACTTGTACCCTGACAAAGTCTATATACAGGATAGCATACTTGTACCCTGACAAAGTCTATATACAGGATAGCATACTTGTACCCTGACAAAGTCTATATACAGGATAGCATACTTGTACCCTGACAAAGTCTATATACAGGATAGCATACTTGTACCCTGACAAAGTCTATATACAGGATAGCATACTTGTACCCTGACAAAGTCTATATACAGGATAGCATACTTGTACCCTGACAAAGTCTATATACAGGATAGCATACTTGTACCCTGACAAAGTCTATATACAGGATAGCATACTTGTACCCTGACAAAGTCTATATACAGGATAGCATACTTGTACCCTGACAAAGTCTATATACAGGATAGCATACTTGTACCCTGACAAAGTCTATATACAGGATAGCATACTTGTACCCTGACAAAGTCTATATACAGGATAGCATACTTGTACCCTGACAAAGTCTATATACAGGATAGCATACTTGTACCCTGACAAAGTCTATATACAGGATAGCATACTTGTACCCTGACAAAGTCTATATACAGGATAGCATACTTGTACCCTGACAAAGTCTATATACAGGATAGCATACTTGTACCCTGACAAAGTCTATATACAGGATAGCATACTTGTACCCTGACAAAGTCTATATACAGGATAGCATACTTGTACCCTGACAAAGTCTATATACAGGATAGCATACTTGTACCCTGACAAAGTCTATATACAGGATAGCATACTTGTACCCTGACAAAGTCTATATACAGGATAGCATACTTGTACCCTGACAAAGTCTATATACAGGATAGCATACTTGTACCCTGACATGGTCTATATACAGGATAGCATACTTGTACCCTGACAAAGTCTATATACAGGATAGCATACTTGTACCCTGACAAAGTCTATATACAGGATAGCATACTTGTACCCTGACAAAGTCTATATACAGGATAGCATACTTGTACCCTGACAAAGTCTATATACAGGATAGCATACTTGTACCCTGACAAAGTCTATATACAGGATAGCATACTTGTACCCTGACAAAGTCTATATACAGGATAGCATACTTGTACCCTGACAAAGTCTATATACAGGATAGCATACTTGTACCCTGACAAAGTCTATATACAGGATAGCATACTTGTACCCTGACAAAGTCTATATACAGGATAGCATACTTGTACCCTGACAAAGTCTATATACAGGATAGCATACTTGTACCCTGACAAAGTCTATATACAGGATAGCATACTTGTACCCTGACAAAGTCTATATACAGGATAGCATACTTGTACCCTGACAAAGTCTATATACAGGATAGCATACTTGTACCCTGACAAAGTCTATATACAGGATAGCATACTTGTACCCTGACAAAGTCTATATACAGGATAGCATACTTGTACCCTGACAAAGTCTATATACAGGATAGCATACTTGTACCCTGACAAAGTCTATATACAGGATAGCATACTTGTACCCTGACAAAGTCTATATACAGGATAGCATACTTGTACCCTGACAAAGTCTATATACAGGATAGCATACTTGTACCCTGACAAAGTCTATATACAGGATAGCATACTTGTACCCTGACAAAGTCTATATACAGGATAGCATACTTGTACCCTGACAAAGTCTATATACAGGATAGCATACTTGTACCCTGACAAAGTCTATATACAGGATAGCATACTTGTACCCTGACAAAGTCTATATACAGGATAGCATACTTGTACCCTGACAAAGTCTATATACAGGATAGCATACTTGTACCCTGACAAAGTCTATATACAGGATAGCATACTTGTACCCTGACAAAGTCTATATACAGGATAGCATACTTGTACCCTGACAAAGTCTATATACAGGATAGCATACTTGTACCCTGACAAAGTCTATATACAGGATAGCATACTTGTACCCTGACAAAGTCTATATACAGGATAGCATACTTGTACCCTGACAAAGTCTATATACAGGATAGCATACTTGTACCCTGACAAAGTCTATATACAGGATAGCATACTTGTACCCTGACAAAGTCTATATACAGGATAGCATACTTGTACCCTGACAAAGTCTATATACAGGATAGCATACTTGTACCCTGACAAAGTCTATATACAGGATAGCATACTTGTACCCTGACAAAGTCTATATACAGGATAGCATACTTGTACCCTGACAAAGTCTATATACAGGATAGCATACTTGTACCCTGACAAAGTCTATATACAGGATAGCATACTTGTACCCTGACAAAGTCTATATACAGGATAGCATACTTGTACCCTGACAAAGTCTATATACAGGATAGCATACTTGTACCCTGACAAAGTCTATATACAGGATAGCATACTTGTACCCTGACAAAGTCTATATACAGGATAGCATACTTGTACCCTGACAAAGTCTATATACAGGATAGCATACTTGTACCCTGACAAAGTCTATATACAGGATAGCAT